TTCAATAAAGCCATCGGACGTACTGGACCTCTCCGTGCTGGGGGCTCCCCAAGAGTAGCTCTGCAGTCCTTGAATGGACACTGTACCCCGTAAACAAGGACAGTTTCGCCCCAAGAGTAAAGGTCGCCGTCCGAGTGTCTGGTGACTCCGTTTGGTTTGCTGTTTCACATGGCGATTTGAGGGCAGGTTGACAGAGTGCATGGCTGCCCGTTCAGCAGTTCAATGCAACAGCTTCTTCCCGCTTCCTCCTTTCATCGACCCTTTTCATCCGTCCTTCTTTGATTATCTTTATCACTCTTTGATCACCTTGGATTCCTATTCCTTGATTGTCCTTCTTTGGTTATCTCATGAGAAGAGACCGGAAATGGTGCGCAGAATATTTCAGATCCGAGCACAAATTATTGTCTCTTAGTGTTTAGAACTGTTTCCTCTTGAATTCTGCATGGAGAATGGGGAGGGGTCAACTTTCTGGCTCTTAGAGCCTCTGTAGATTTGGAGGCAGCCCTCAGGGAAGGACTCCAGGGCAGACTGAAAGCTGGATTCTACTCCCCACAGGTGCTGCTGTGTCCAAGGCCGGAGACCTGCCAACGAGGTAAGATCTCCCCAAAGTCCTTGGGCCTCCCGACCCCACCCACAGCTGCCTGTCCATCACCCAACGCTCCTTTCTCCTTCCTCAGCTCCGGTGCAGCCACTGAGACCCAAGAAGAGAACACGTGTAAGGAGAGAAAGACCACCTGAATGGGAGATGGGAGGCCCTCAGAAGGGGGAGGGGGGCTGATTGGAAACCTGCAGGGTCCTGCAGGGAAGACAGCTTCACTCTGACACAGCGTGGCCCTGGCCCCATCACCCGCCCACCCTCTCTGGGCTTCAGCCTCCCTAGCGAGGACTAAGAGAGGCAGTGAGATCTGGGGAATCTAACCAAGAAGTAACATGTCTTTGCTCTGGCCCCCTCAGATGCCGCTGTGACAGACCATCAGCCTGGGGAAGAAGTGGAGCTGGACATTCAGGTGAGTTCCCTCTGGTTGTGAGCAGGCCCCCACAACTTTGTCCATACACGCATCCAGGTGGACGCTGGTCCACCCCCCTGCAGCTGCCAACCCTGAGCGGAGCAGTTGGCGCCCTTCCTTCTGGACGCCTTCTGGGCAGGTGGCTGCGCTGACCTGCTCTCCTCCCTGGTCCCCCCGCCGGTCTCCTCTCCTGAGCTTCCCTTGGGTGTCGTCTGGTGGGAGCGTCATGCGCCAAGTCCACATCCACTCCTAGAGAGCCTCAACACAGCAGAGCTTCCCCGTCGGGTTTCCAAGGCTGTAATCTTCCAGGGCACAGGCCACGAGGTCTTCCTCCCATCCAGCAGCTGGTGGGGAGGTTACCACTAGCAACTGAACACTTCACTCATGTGCCACCTGGACTCTTTCATCCAGGTCAGCCTGTGTGCCGCAAATAAGAGGGGGCTTCAAAGAGTTTGTGCAAAGACCCCATTTTGCTTTCTTTT